GAAAGTGATGGCTAGGTCTTGTGGTATGAAGGTGTTTTGTTGTAAGAAACCTTCTGAATCCACCTCATAAACCCTGGAGAGAGACAAACATGGTCAAGGGCATGTGTCCACTGGGGGGCTGGGAGAACTAAGAATAATATTACACAGACATGCAACAGTTGCTACAAGAGAATGTGCATCAGAAGTGAACAAACAATGGACAAAATACTTCTGGACCTATTCTCCACTCTCATTCTTCTGGACTAAAGATTGCAATACATGTTTATCAGGCATTCTTATCCATTCACATGATCTGTCTCTATGTGACGGGGACGATGGTAACGATGAGAAACGTGCATCGCTCAGAATGTGGTGATGTCAAATCCATCGTCATGTGTCTTGCATGCGATGGTTAGAATCTCACATTTTGTCACGGTAAATCCAGTAACCTTCACGCCCAGAAATCCCCGACCCCCGGAACGAGTTCTCGAGAATAAAAGCTGCAAGGCTGGCTTTCGATGTTTTGTCACTGCCAAGTCATTGTGTTTTATAATGGGGCGACTTTCTATTCTATATTTTGTGAAGCGAAGTTGGATCGAGCTGGACCTTCAATCATTTAAGCTCATTGATGCTGGGAAGTCAAATATGGGCCTTCCATCCTTTTTGCTGTATCACTCGGAGCACATTTGCTTCAGAGATTAGTACGGTTAGTTGACATCGATCGGAGCCGTTAATCCCATGATTAATCTTCCTCTGACTTTCGGAAAAGTGTTGTGATCGGCAATTATTGCAACCTAAAGATGTCTGGGAGTGATGCTTCAAGTGAAACTGCATGGTGACTTTCGCCAGTAAAGTAATTTCGTTCAGAAGGGTTGGAATTCCTGTTTGGAATATTTCGAAGGACCTGTTTTAACTGGCGAATATAATATTTTTCTGTCGTCCTTTTACCAAGCCTTATCCCTTGAAGGAAGCCTATACTACTTTCTCGAAGGTGATAATATCGCTTTGGCAGCAGCAAAAGGAGGACCCACTAGTCTTGAGCATGGCGTCTGGTCTATTTTCCTCATGATGACGATGATGAAAAATTATTCTATATAAAATTGGGCCAATGGGAGGGACTGCGTCGGGAGGGAAGATAGAAGTGTCATTCCATTAGCCCAACTCGAACTTCCCTCAAACCAGCTACTGCAGTGCTTGCTATTTGAGGTTGTTCAACATTCCACCTACCAACGTTCAGCTGGTAGACACCATGATAGTCATAACATGTGGTCCAGCAGCCCTTCTCCCAGTCTGGGAGCTCGAAATAGAATTTAATAACTATTATACTTTATCCTCGAGTTTCAAAACGAGGTGAAAGTTAGAGAAATAGAGATGCAAGAAGGCGAAGGTTCATTTGTCACATCGGGAATGCCAAAAAAAACAAAGCAAATTAAAAATTAGTTTCGCAATCTGGTATCATTCGCTTTCTGGTTGCTGCATCGGACGTATCTTCGGGGTCAGACGTGTCCCCATTTTGGACTTACCGAAGTTTGCACTTTATTACTGGTGGGTTGGTTATTTACGAGATTTTGGATTGGGACATTATATCTCATCATGACTTATGGGCTAGGTGCTCTTGAAGTCCAACTGCTAGCTATGCATGTGGAGCCAGCTTAAGTTTGTTTGTTTCGGGCTGTAACAGGACAAGCTCTTGGATTAGCGAGTTACAGTCGCAGTGAAACTCCATGCTCGTCCAGTGGAGACATGGAGCCTCAGGTTCTTACCGCTGCTGCTGTTGCTTGATCAGTGAGCCCTTCCCTGGATGCCACAGCTTGATTTAATGAATGACTCAGGTTTTGGGGGGTCATGACTAATTTAATTTTCGGGGGGTAATGACTAAATCCGTAATGTCAAAGCTATGGAGGGCATTATTAGCTTCATGGCCCACATTTGACAACAAGGGCGATGTGAGAATTGAATGAGGGCGTGTGCCAAATCCCAGTGGATCTTTGACCGATCAGGAGACATAACCGGGCCCAGTGACCGGAGGAAGAAGGGCTCGAACTGTGGTCAGGCTCCGATGGGTTTAGTGACTCAACCCATCGGAGCTGGTCCGACTAAACTTTAGTCGGACCAGCTCAGCGGCAGTCCTCCTCCATCAGACCGTATTCACTTCCAGATTCGGTATACTTTCCGTAGTCGTTACGACGAGGGAGTTTCCCGTTGTGAGAATCTGAGTTTATAATAAGGTTTGACAAGGTGGGGCAAAATTGATATACAGACCAGAGGATGTAGCAAACAAACAAATCACTAAACCAGAGTTTATACTCTATAACATATCGATCATATTATTTAGAGAATTTTAATTATCTAGGTTACATAAGTAATAAGAAAAATCTATCACTGAAGATATTGTGATTCATGTGTTTAGCAGTAAAGAGGGTTCATTGTCGACTACTAAACACTGTATAATGTGTTTAGTATTCGACAATTTCATATAACTTGAAATAATATAATATGATAGATTAATCTTATATATCTGATTATTTATAATGATTTATTTTAGCATATTCACTTATTAACATGTTGAGTTATTCATCTATGAAATCATCATGAGGGGAATCAATAGATGGCCTCTCAACATAAACATTTACTTCGAGACCGTTGTTGGAACCACCCCAACTTTCACGTGTTGAGTAAATTAACAACAGTACTGTATAGAATTCATCGGTTTCCTTCTAGCTTCACCTCTATGTCAGGACTAGAGTCGCCTTTGCTTACGAAAAAACGATCGCCTGGACCTCGCTAGGTGCACAGGTTATTAGTAAGCTCTACTCCAGGGAAGACGACACTGCCGAAATTAAAACACATAATCAGAGAAGCGGTTAGAGACGAGGCAAAAGTTGGAACGCATGTGAAACTCGGAAAAATAAGAAAGAATAACATGCTGCTTCTCTCGATCCTCTCCCAGATTCTCATTCAGAGGTTTGCGAGCCTCCGGTTCACATTCAACCACATCAAGGAACGGGGGTGGCGCAGTCTTTGCTCGAAAAGAAACGAGAAAGAGAGACTCGGTCCGAATGTGACATCGAGATTTTTGACAGGCGAAGCAGCGACCGTGCACAAGAGCAGAAGTCTTCGCTCGCCTCGTTCGATGCATCGGTCAGACGATGGATCCTCGTCCTCGTCCTCGGTTACTCTCACTGGGCGTACCCACTTTCGTAGCGGTAAGCCCCAAGGAGGGTTTCTAATGTATACGGAACCGTATAAATTTAGGGCCAGAGCGTATACTTGTGCTCGTGAGTGTACGTGTACGTGTGGTATGTATTATGGGCACCGGGCAACGGGCAACGCCGCAAAGCGTAAGGGCAGAGGCGCAGGAGAAGACCGCAGGGGAAGTTTGGGTATGGGGTTGGGGCTGGGGTAGGGCTGGCTGGGGTTGAGTTAGGGTGAGAACGTGGGGGAGGCCGAAATATCGGAAGCCGGGGGTTTGTCAACGCGAGGTCACGACGGGCGGAAATGACCTGCCCGACTGACGCATGCGCCTGCGCGTGTAGAGCAGCAGTAGTTCGAGAAGGATTTTGCTGCAATTTTGGGGGTTCCATCATTAAGGCCCCATGTCTCTTGTCCTTACGAGCCGATGTTCCCTACCGGCACTGATGCTGGCTGCTCATTCGTCCTCATCTGGCGTCGCATCCTGCCACGCGTCTCATTCCTCCCCCTCCCCCCTCGGCCAATATACGGCATCTCGCCTCATTCCGTCTCATCTCGTTTCATTTCATTTCATCCCGTCCGTCTGTCGTCCGGGACAGGGACTTATCTTGTATCTCTGCTGCGGGACTAGGGACGGGACGGGAAGGGACGAGGCCGGTTGAGGCCCGGCGCTAGGGAGCGGGCAGAGGTTTTGCCTCTGACAGGCTACTGCTGGGCAGGCAGGCGGGCAGGATCTGGATTCGGGCACGAGAGATTCCGTGATCGAACTGCCGGGAAGTTGGTGTTCTGTGGATTTCTCATTTCATATAATGGACAAAAGCAGGTTATTGTCTTCTTCTGAAACTAAAATCCATTCCGGGGAATTATAATGTCCACCACTTTTGTAGCTGTCTCGATCCTACCAGCGTGAGCCGCTAGATTGTCCGGACTCTCATAAGTCTAAAGGAGTCCCCAAATTGGCTGGGCATTGTAAATACGGATAACCAGATTTTTTTGACCTTTCGAGATAATGACAAAGAGCTACTCCTCGCTTTTCCATATAAATATTCACTTTTCTTAATGGTCTACACAGTGAGGCGGAATGTCAAAAAGCCCGATTTTGCATGAAATAGTATCTGGAGAAATCATTATAAAACCCTCCTTCATATGTATCCTCATCTTCTCGGTTGCAAAGAAAAGAGAACTTGCGAATTCGCAATGTTCCAGCCTTCGGGCCCTCGAGAAATGCAGAACTGGCTATTCGTCATCTTACGGACAAAAAAGACGAGCGGGCAGAGAGAGAGACTTTGCAGCGGGCCGAACCAGCGGCGGCTCGAGTGACCGGCAACGACCCGAATTGGGCAGGGCGGGGCGGGGTGGGGTGGGGCGGGTAGAGAGGGAGGCCGGAAGGAAGGAAGGAAGGAAGCCAACCATCCATCCATCCGTCCAGCCATCGACATCAGTGCGGCTCGGAGGCGAAACAACCGAAGCGGGCTGGACCGGGGCGGGGACCGACGAGACAGGACAGGACAGGACAGGAGCGGGCAGATGTAGGGGCAGGGGCAGGGGCGGGTGCAGCTGCAGCTGCCGGGCTGGCAGAGAACAGGAGCACTGCACATCGCCGGTCGTCCTTCTTTCGGTTACCGCGGCTGCCTCCCCCGCGCCTGTCGTCCCGTCCCCATGCCCATCCGCTTCGTCTCTCGATGGCAGACGAGGATGTGGGATCATGCGAATGGGAATGGGAAGCGACTGCCGGGCAGGGGCAGGGGCAGGGGCAGGGCAGGGATGGGACGGGGAGGTCACCAAGGCAAGGAAGGACGCATAGAATCACATCGACATCGACTGGAGGCGCTCTCTTCGTTGTACATTCGTTCATTAATGCCAGTGACGAGGAGAGCTGCTGGGGCAGCAGCAGCAGCAGCAGCAGCTGCGGATGGAGGGAGGGAGGGAGAGGCGCAAATACGCAAGGGAAGGGAAGGGAAGGGAAGAGCAGAGAAGACAGGGCGGATCGTATGACCATTTCTTGCCAGGGGGCTTAAAATAGGAGAAGGGGGACTGGGAAGGCGGGGGATGAATTTCTTTTTGTATGTATTTGTATAGTTGCGGAAGGAAAGTGTGGGGAGCGAGATTCACTATTTTTGGATCAGAGCGTGGAAATTTTGCAGTCGGCCTTTCTTGGGCGTGGAGGGAGAGTTGGAGTGTGTGTCATGATCAGGAGCCAGGGAGGAGAGAGCGGATTTGGTGGATCTGGGGCAGAGTCAACCCTGTTGCTTGCATCAAGCGAGCGAGCGAGCAAGCAAGGAAAGACGCAAGGAGAAGGGAATGGGTTGGGTCTGGCGAGCGTCAGGCAATTCTGCGAATCATGAGCTGCAGCAGACGCAGGAGCTCCGGGGGTAGCAGCTGCGAGCTCATACACAAGCGGCGTAAGAACCAGAAGACGATGTCGTGGGACAGCTCCTGGACCCTGGTCCGGATTGCTGTGCCGAGAGCTGCCGGAGCAGAATTCGGCACAGTGCACGTGACACGTAAATTACACTTCTACAAACGTAAGCGGGTTGCTTCTTCTTCCACTTCATCCTCTCCTCCTCACCCTTCTCTTCTTCCTCTTTTGCCTCTTCTGCATCTTCTTCTCCTTGCCCCTCCCCTCCCTGGCTTCGCTTGTGCTCGGGGATTCATGGTCAAGTCAACGCCTTTTCCTCACTCCACGCACTAGGAAGCCAACAAACCACTCTTCCTCATCAGTGTGTGTGTGTGTGTGATCCCACCCGTATGCTTCCTTCTGCTGCTTCCAGCCTTTTCCTCGCTCCGCTCTGCCTCTTTGCCCGACCGACCTTCCTTCAAGCCCGGGACGTAATGACACTGGAGGTCGTCATGGGCTCTCGATTCGGCCGGGCTGGGCTCTGCGAACGAGGCCGGGAAGCAGGAGTCACTTATCCTTCTGGCTCTGTAAACTGAACGCTGCATAAGGTGACTCTCTTGCACGGTACGCTAAAGAGCAATGACATAGCATGTGTCAGCCTTCGCCCAATTGCATCATGCCCGGAGGGCCTGACTTTTAAGGCAGATGCCTCGTTAGCTGAATTGTGTGTTTTGACACCACCACAACGAGTCAGGCTCTTTTCATCCCGGACTGCAAATTCCTTTTGACATATTCCAACCTTTGTTGACCTGTCTGTCACTCTGTCTTGTGTTTCAGTGTTGCACCGTTGTTGTCCATCTTCCGCTATAGCTGCAGTGTCCCAAGATTCCAGGATCACCATACGTTTCCCTCATTTTTGCTTTCCTTGGACCCAAATTCACCTCACGAAGTCATACTTTGATTAGCAGTGCATATACATACTCTTTTCTCGCCTATGCATCTAGATACCTTTGAGTATCTTAGAGGATGTACGTAATTGGATTTGGGAGCTCTTTCTATTGAGTGACGAGATATTTAGAACTCGACTGACGACTGATGGGAAAGGGATGAATTGGGTCGAAGTATTTGATCAACAACTGATGGACAGAATGTCGCCGGTATTTCACAGTGACAGCGCTTGAAGCGAAGATCAGGAAGAGCAAAGCCCAGGTCGAAAGCGTGGTTGCGTACTTTCAGTGATATGTTTGATGGGGACTGTGAATCTAAGGATCTGCTCCGGCACGAAGTTCCGTTAGATGAGATCGTCTGCATTTTACACCGAGGACAGATAGTCGACTCATCGAAGCTGCAAGCTCTGGCTAGGTCGTATCGCTTGTCTGCGCTGGACAAATGATGCCGGAAAGTGCCTTGGATATGGACAGATGATTCATGGGTACGTCGTGAGGAGGCCTTCAGCTCGTGTGCTGTGAGCGGGTATGGGAGTTCAGCCTTATGTTCTGGAAGAAACCTTGAAAATTAAATTTTCAAGTGCAAAAGTGAAAAAGTAGCGGACCATGTTCGTGCAAACATTGAGTGCTTGGGTGTCTGTGAGAAGGTCCGAAAATAACAGTGGTAGTACCTCTCCGAGTCCCCCTTTAGCAGCAAATAGTGGGTGGAGGCGTGCACGGACACTGATGGGATTCAACGCTTGCACATCTGCGCAACGGGATCCAGACGATGATCCACCCTTTCAACCGGATGTAGATGCACCTAGCACTGAAGCAGCCCCAGAGATCAGTGCGCCGGAACAGGCATTGTCACAATCTTCGATGTCACCGAGTTCTATAGCTTCCACAGCTCCAGCTACACCCAATCGGTCCCCGTCTCGCCTCAATAGTATCCGTTCCAGTATAAGAATGTCTCGTGTAAGCACCACTGTAAGCCTTCTTTCTTCCCTACCCTTATGCTTCCAAATTTGCGTAGCTTGTGATGAATGTATCATTGATGTGAGTTGGTTTTGATGCCTCCATGTTTAAAATTGACGTCGTGTTGTATACTTCAACAGATGTATGTACCTTTGCAGAGAGTTTCGAAGAGTAGAGGGATATTTCTTACTTCTAAACAACTGTCCATATCCTTGTTGTCCATGTTTGTGTTGATTTCAATAACATTGCAAATCCTGAGATTTGCTCAAGACTCTAGCCTGATTTCATGTTTCTCTTCAGCGTTAGTTCTCGGATGCATTCTTCTCTCTCCAATAGGATTTCTATACTGTTATTATAGTTACTTAGGAAATTTAGCAGGAAGAAATTCACATCTCTGCAAAAAATTCACAAGTTCTCTTTTCGTTAGAAATCTCCTTGGTAAGTCTACGCCTGTCGAACGCTTGCTTATTTGCATCCAAAGTTTCCTATAAATGTGTTTGTTCTCTTGAAAGTATTGTTGTCCCCTGCGAAGTCAATTAAGTGTAAAGTGCGGACTGAGTATGCTCCTCGGTCTATGATGCTGGATATATGTCGTCATCTGTTTCATCCGAAGGCGAATAAACGAGATTTCTGATTCCGTGGGGATGACTGGATTGAAACGCAGAGTACCTGTGCTATCTGTTTGGAGAGTATGAAGGCAGGTCAAGGGCAAGCTCTTTTCACGGCGGAGTGTTCTCATACCTTCCACTTTTCGTGCATCGCTTCGAATGTGCGACACGGAAACCTCGTCTGTCCAGTTTGCCGTGCAAAGTGGAAGGAAGTTCCCTGGCAAGCACCTGTAGATTATTCTCCAAAAGATCACATACATCGACCTTCGATGTCAAACGGAAGTCTCAGTCGTCCCAGTCCCAGGAGAAGTCAGCATGTCCCAGGCTCCAGGTAAGGTCTGAAAGCCATCACCTATTTCTTTCAACTAGTTGCGACTGTCACTCATCTTCACAACATTGAGTGCTCTACCCGGCCAATCCTGTCTATATCAATACTACCAATACACTCAATCTATTTGGGCTCATGTGGCTGTCAACTCTGTCGATCTTGGCCAACTCCAACAGTTTTGTAGATTGTGAAAGAAGCGATCATTTGCATGCTTTCTAGTGGATTTTTACGTGTCAGTGCTCATATTCTTGGGAGTAATCTACCCTCTCACGTCACTTTCATTGGAGCACACATATCCAGATGTGCTAACCTTATTTCCCATCAGTGTTATGACCGTTGACGGGTGCACTCACGTTCATTTACCTGGATTCTTTTCAGACATTCTCCAAGCTCGTCTCCTCGACGTGGAACCGAAGACTCACTTGGAGAGGAGGAAGAGGAGCATAGGCGAGTAGATCCGGTGCTACGGATCTTGGATGAGTCCATAGCCAATGCTCGAGGGGTTCGTCGAATAGGTCCCCAGGAGCCCAACATGTTCGACGATGATGAGCCCCTAAATTCCCCTTCAGGCAATACAGAACGAGATGGCAGTGAGGAACCTGTAGAACCTGTATTGTACAGGGTCTACGAACATGGGCAAGCACAGGAGGAGAGTAGTAGCCAGAGTCCAAATGAAGATAATCAAGAGGGTGCCACAGTGGAAGAGCAGGCGAGGAGCGTGGTTCCGGAAATAAACGCTAGAGGGTACCCAGAGGTGGAAGAGCAGGTGAGGAGCGTGGTTCCGGAAATAAATGTGAGAGGGTACCCAGAGGTGGATGAAGTATCTGGATCAGAGGAGCGTCAAACCTTCACGGTGTTAGTAAATATAAAATCCGCATTAATCAATACAAGAAATCCACTGGATAATGAGGGGTGGGAATGGAGGGATGGGATGGATGGGAATGGAGCAGAGGAAGCTCGCGATGCCAAGCTGCTCTTGGATCCAAGCTCCCGCGCGCCTCTGGACCTGGTCACGGTGTTGGACATTAGCGGTAGCATGGCAGGAACGAAGTTGCTGCTTTTAAAGCGTGCGATGGAGTTTGTTATCAGCAACTTGAGTCCGTCCGACCGCCTTTCTGTGGTGGCATTTTCTTCTTCTGCACGGAGGCTCTTCCCTCTACGAAGAATGGTGGAGGAGGGTCGACAACTGGCACTTCGGTGTGTGGACTCACTGGTATCCACCGGTGGCACCAACATTGCTGATGGCTTGAGAAAGGGGGCCAAAGTGCTCGAGGACAGACGCATGAGAAACCCAGTGGCCAGCATCATGCTTCTCTCCGATGGGCAGGACACCTACACCATGAGCAACAGATCACATCTGCTTACACCTCTCTCGAGCAGCAACTCTCGTGGTGCCATAGATTATAGAAGGCTCGTACCTGGATCCATTAGACATGGTTTTAGATACGGTCAAAATTCCCAAATCCCTGTACATACTTTCGGATTCGGGGCGGACCACGATGCAGCTACCATGCACTCAATATCAGAAGCATCGGGCGGGACTTTCTCCTTCATCCAAACCGAAAGTGCAGTGCAGGATGCTTTTGCTCAGTGCATCGGGGGTCTGCTCAGCGTGGTGGTGCAGGATGCTCAGGTTACCATGTCTGCCGGAGCACCTGGAGTCCAGATTAGGTCCATCCAAGCAGGCAGCTACGAGAGCTCCATCCGAGACGGCGGAACACAAAGTTTGGTAAAGATTGGTGATCTTTACGCTGAAGAGGAGCGGGATATTATGGTCGATCTCCAGCTCCCACGTGCTCACAGACCGACCGGAGAGAGCACAAACAGCCCTGTAATGAGACTTCTCCGAGTGTCATGTTCATTCCGTAACCCTGTGACGCAAGCTGTGACTGATGGTCCGTTCACTGACATCACTATCAACCGACCGGAATTCGTTGACACAGCTTCGCAGACAGTGAGGTCGGAGGTGGACAGGCAGAGGAGTCGCATTCGTATCGCGCAGTCCATTGTGGACGCAGGGGCCTTGGCCGATGGTGGAGACATATCTGCTGCCCAAGAGATTCTCATCACAGCCAAGGAGAATCTGCATGGATCGCCTGCCTTTCTGGTGAGCACACAAGGGCAGAAGCCCTTGAATCCGTGTGCAGGATTCTGTGCATCCGAATCCGAATCCTCGTGGAATTTGAGTTTCAATTCTCGTCGACAGATTGTCAGTCTGAAACTTTGTATCAAGTTGACCAGTCGAGGACTGATGCATATGCTTTGAGGTTGACCTTCTTTGGGTTGTGCTTGTAGGCCGGCGATCAACTCTGCGTGAGCTTGGAAACGGAGCTCCTGGAGATCCAGACTAGAATGGCAAATCGTCAAATGTACGAGAGGTCTGGTCGAGCCTACATTCTGTCGGCTCAGAGTTCTCACTTTCGGCAGCGCGCAACAACGAGAGGGGATTTCAGCGAAAATCACAGCCGTGAGTATCAAACGCCGTCGATGGCGGACATGATCCTGCGCAGCCAAACCCTTCAGTCGCCGAGAGGTACACACCCAACCGCGAGTCCATCGCTGCCCATGAGCCCGACTCGGGAGCCCCGGAGGAACCATCACACAGCCCGCTCCGCCTTGAGCCCTTCTCCGTCGAGAATGCTGCACAGAGGTTCAGGCAAAGTCCAAGACTCGCACGGACACCGGGACCCGTCTCCATCCTCGAGAATTTGAATCAACCATAAACATATTTTGATACGGGCCGTATATTATTACTGAATTTGTCACTATACGCCATACACCCTGCCCCCATGGGGTCGGGCTCCTGCTTACGCCATTTCTCGAATGAGGCGATGACTGGGGTGCTGAGCAATGATGAGTGACCTTGTAGCTGTAAGTACGTTAGTCTAGTGCATCCGACGGGCTGCGAAATTCTTTTTGGAAAATTTAGTCAATAAAGAGGCTAGATTTCTGCTGTTCCGTGCCTAACACGGACAGCCAATTTTGAAGCTGTACATCGTCTTTCGGTACACTTCCTCAAAACCTGCAGAAAAGTGCAATCTCGCAGCATACGCTTCACTCTCTCCTCTGGTGAGGAGCTGCGGTTTGGATGCCATATCATAGGCTTCAAACGCGATGGCGAGCACTTGAAAGTTCTGGGAGGTGCCCACTTCCTGTCGAATAACATCCAATTGTGCCGGCCTGTGAGCGAGCAACCGAGGAGTTCCTAGCCTCTCTAGCCTCTTTGGTGCGGAGCCTGCTCCGTCGTGCAAGTCTGTCATCATGTGGCCTTCAGGTTCTTCATCCAGTTCCCTCCCTCCGGGGCAAGGTGGAAACTGGAAAGCTTCACAACCGCTCACTTCCAGCTGTACAAATTTCTGAGTGAGCTACATATTTGAAGAGTAGAGCGTCATATTCTACTTCTCTCGGGGACCCACGGCATCGACGTCTTCTGAGAGGAGTTCGGCTGCAGCAGTTGCTTTCTCGATGATTACGAACTAGTCATTACGGTCAACTTTTTCTTCCTGGGGTCGATCGATCGAACAAGTGGACGTCTTCTTCCCACGACACAGGTCTACTTATGCTGGATTAAAAAAGGAGTGCCACGAGTACCGCACCATCACTACACTGTCGTGCTCGTGTCCCTCCGAGACGATGGTCTTCCAGTCGATGTGCTATTTTTCCAGCACCAGAGGAGATTCCAGCCCTCTCGCAGGGTTCGCTACCTCAAGGTAGCACATGGATTCACCTGTCTGTCTGTCTGTCTATCTGAGAGCGGTGATTATACCAGTTGGGCTCTTCTTTGTCAAATCTGCTGAGTCGAAGGAAATGCTTCGCCAGCAGCAATCGGATTTCAAGCTTTCATGTTAGTGCTCCATATATGTAGGAGCGCAGGAGTGTTGTGTTCTACAGGTAGAGTCTCGGCTGTTGATACGATCTCACTGACCAGCCTTCCCACCTCGGTTGACAGCTCTGAAGAAGATGTTCTGTCGAGATTATAACGGGGTAAAATTCACCCTATAGTTCATGTTATATTTTTTTACGATCGTGGTGCTTGTCCGGCTCGAGTTCGCCGAAGGGGTTCCGAGTCCAGTCATTGTTTCGTTTGTCTTCAATGTACAGGTTTAAGCACAACATAAAGAGTGCCAGAGTTGATGAAAATTTCACAGCATCTGAAAGCTTGAGCTACTGAATTTTATACCCATTGTTATATTCTCGAATCTACCTCTTGCTTCACAGCCGTGATGAGTTGTTTTTGTAGATGAGTTGTTTTTTTTAGATCTTTCCGCTCTGCGCATCGTAAATTTATGATCTCCAGTGTAGCCAATATTCTTGCTCCGAATCTGCAAGTCTGTAATTTATCTGCCCATCTTTCTTCTACGATTTGGCTTCCAGGAGAATATCTTGGCAGAATCTTGGCGTTTGCACCCACATGTATGTCGAAGAAACATACAAGCCTCAAGCCTGGCCTAATACTTCTGAGTTCAGGTTTTGTTACTTGGATTCTACGGCGACATCCAGATTCGTTCATCTCTAAATGTTGGAAATGCCACGAAGAAGACTTGCAGCTTACTAAAATATACCCCACACTCGATACACATGAAACCTGTCTTCACTTGCCAAGAAAAGAGAAAGATCGATGTGGGTTATGTTTCCCGGTTGCGTCTAATGTTAGACGCAACCGGGATAATAGATTCGATAATAGACATAAGCACCTGAAGGTGTATCACCTACAGTCATTATTCTCCTACCCATTACACCTATTAACCTTTGCACATAAATAAAGAAAACCTGCTTAGTGATGATATTTAAATTTTCTTTATAAGCATAACTTTCGTTGTACATGTCATGCGAACTTTTCAAACGTAAACTACATATAAACAAATCACAATTTAAACATGCACAGATCTGAAACCGGTGAAATCAAAGATATCAAAAAAATTTGACATGGATTCTTGAAGACATATCAACAGTATATAAAGTTGGGGTGTTTATCAACATCAACTATCTCACATAATTAAGTCTCCTACTAACTTCTTACTGTTCAACTAAGAGTATATTAGATGAAACACCGAAGTACTATGATGTATAATCACGACAAATAATTGATACAATGTGTTTAACGCTTGTATATCACATATTCTAGTACGCCGTATTATATGTTTATTTATCTTGTAGCTCTTTTGATTTAACTAATCAAAACATTTGGGTGCAATTCAATGTAATTCTTAACATGATAATATCGGAGTTCTTGCTTAGAGTTTCATACATTTTCTTCTTTCTACTGCTTGAAGAAGAACTCGAGAGATTTGCTTGATGGGACCCCTACGGAAAGTAATTTGCTTAATGTGACCCCTCAGGTTTAGTTTTACCCGATGAGACCCGTGTGTGTGACGACTGTGTGACAGCGGCCATAGTTCTTGTAACTAAGATTGATAGTTACAGTGCGGGGATTACAATCAAAGATCAATCCTTGATTATAATTTCTGGTGGATTATCACGTGGACAATTATCGATTTTGCCCGAAATGTAATTTGTTGTGCTTCAATTCTCCCGATTCTCGGATTTCTCTGTTGCCTCCCGCCTGCACACTCTTTTCATAACCCTGCGTATGCGACGAGAAGCTCGTACCGGAAAGTGATCCAAGCTCAAGTCTCGCGGTTAGCCATTTGTCGCGAACAAATAAACTCTGGATGAGCATTTCTTTGCTCTTGAACTGGGGGAGTGGCTGGATACAGAATGACAAAATAAAAACAAGTGAGTGCGATGGAAGACGAAGTCCACTCTGTCCACGGATTTGATTGCATTCTCTAAAATTCAAATCGATATTAGAACATGGGTGACGGTGCATCGTTCACAGTATCGAGCGAATAAAACAAAACCTGAAACGTAACATCAAGCAAATTGTTTTACGAAGGGTACCATGAAACAAATCTCTCTTAAGAATTCCCCTATTTTTTAGACATTTTGATACTTTGGATAAGGTAATGGATATCCAAACCACGTAACACCACAGAGAGATGGGACAGTAGTGGACTCCAACTCATACGCTCCTTTAAATTTTACCAACTATAATGTGTGAGAGATAAAGACTAGAATGACCAGCAAGACCTGACAAACAAAGGGTCTCACACATTCATTTCAAGAAACTCCTGTACGGAGCGGGAACAACTGCGGGAATTGGGAGGAGTACCATAAATACAATCATATGGTCTGTGTGGCTGCAGTAGGCAACAAGCGGGATCCAGACAAGAGCCACGTGTAAAGACAAGAGTGTTGGCCAACGACTGCAGCTGATCCTTACGCTGATTCTGCCCAAGTCTTCTTCGTATTGTAAATGTACCCTGATGCCAACACAGCGCATTATAATTCAATGTGGGCAACTGCGAATCTGACTGCGATACTGGAGTTCGTTGACTGGCTGCAGACATTAAAGAGGAGCCAGGGTTTCATTTTCTGCATGCAGCTAGCTCACTTGCAAATGGCCCTCATCAAACCAATCAATCGAACTCTTGTCTACTTTGTCGAGAAAAAATCCAGTCACGTCAACGCAGTAGATCTTACCAGTAGATAATAAAACTTTCGCCACGCTGGACCACGAAAGTGAAAATATTGACGATATATAAATAAATAATGAAGGGAACGAATAATTATGGAATGAAAACATTTGATTAATATTCTAAAGAACCCTCCATAAAAAAGCATATTCCAGCTCTGCAGCAGATGGTGGAGACACGTAGGGAGCGGCTATCCGTTCGATCTATGTGGAAAGGTGATCGGCCCCGTGGACTTGGAAGAGGATTGCGACGGCCACTCGAAGCGGTGGCAACATGGACAGCATCCCCTTGGCCACTGCGACTGTACTTGGCACCAGTCCGAGCCGTCGATCTGATCCGATCGGCCCCCGAGAGCTATACGACCATGAAGCGGAGACAGACGCCCACAGATCATAACAGATCTCCACGCAGTCCGTCAGATGTTGCGACCTCGGTAAATCAGTGACATCACGGCCACCGTTCGTAACGTGGTTTGGGTTTGACATTTTTGGCACACGGTTGATGACTCACTCGCTCCCCTCGCCCGTCGCCTTCTCCTCCTCCTCCTCGTTAGCAATACAGTAAAGAGAACTCAATGACTGAGTTGATCGATGGACGGACGGACAGATGGATTAATGGAGGAGCGGATGGATGGATGGATTGGAGGAGGGCCAGAATGGGCCGGCAGGTGGAAGACTGAGGTTTGGTTTGGTCAGGGGAAGGACGTTTCCGTCGACTCTGATTGGTCGACGAATGTGGCCACTGGGGGGCTCCAACTGGTGCCACATTTCTTGCTCTTACGTTCTTGACGGTCGTTCACGGTGGGCGCTTTTTGGTCCGGGAAAAAACGAAATCTAAAATCTAAATCTGGATCTGGATCTGAAGTCGCCGTGCCACTGAATTTCCCGGTGCTGCTCAGGTCTGCGAAGGGCGAGGTGGCGGACTTTGCTGGACTGTGGGCTTTCCTGGCAATTGTTTCTGCTTTTGCTGAGGGCGTGAATTTCACTGAGTCTCAGTCTGCCGCCCGCTCGCTCGGCTCGGCTCGCCTCAGGGTCACGACCCCGACTCCGTTCTCTGCCTCTGCCCTCTGCCCTCTGCCCTCTCGCTCAGCTCTGTTTTTCTTCGTTTGATTTCTCGCGCACCGTCCCATTTGCTTCCCGTTCGAGCGTATCTCGTCGTTTGGACTGATTTGCTTCGTAGTTCAGCAAGCAAACGGTGAGGGGAGCTGGAGCTGGAGTAGGTGCGGGTTTGTTTGCAGGTTTTGGTCAAAGTGAGGAGCGGGATAGTTTCTGACTTCTCCTGAATTCGAGAAAGTCGCAGCGGGTGGGCTAGAAATGGTGAAGACCACTCCATTGAAGGCAGTGACCTTGACGCACGTGAGATATGAGCGTGGAGATAAGCTTGGGCATTTGCTGGCATGGGCTTCGTTGCTGCCGGTGATTATCGGATTGGGAGGATTTTTGTCACATTTCATTTTTAGGCGAGAGATGCAGGCCATGGCTTTTGGTCTGGGTTTGATCCTGTCAGAATTCATCAACGAGATGATCAAGAAGGTTGTGAAGGAAGCCCGCCCTATCACCTGCGAATTGTTGGAAATGTGTGACTCCCACGGATGGCCGTCCAGTCACTCCCAGTACATGTGTTTCTTCTCAATATATCTCACTCTTCTGGTGCTCAGAAGATTCCATTTTACCGATTCCTTCAGCAGAAATTTCACTGCTATTTTACCCTGGCCATTCGCTCTGGCCACCATTTACTCCAGGGTTTACTTGGGATACCACTCTGTGGCACAGGTGATTGCGGGCTCGGCCGTCGGTTTGACTTTGGGATCTGCCTGGTTTGTAATTGTCAACAAATACCTGGTCAAATTCTTTCCAACCTTAGAGGGAACATACTTCTGCCGCTACTTGTGCATCAAGGACAGCACTCACATTCCTAATGTACTCCGGTTTGAGTACGACAATTGTAGAGAAGCGCGCAAGACGGCGAAAGTCAGGTCCGAATGAGTTGCAACGCTGAGGAGTTTGAGATGCCGAGACCACTTGTTCACGGTTCAAGCAATCCGACCCTGTCCCTGCACTCAGCTGACGAGAAATGATCTCCTCATTTAGCCGAGACTGCTGCTGTGCTTCAGATTTAGTTCTATTCTTTGGTGGCTCTGCAGGTATGCTTCGACGATTGTACACGTATTATAGACCAGAGGTTGGCCAGTTGAGCACTGTGATGTGTTGGTATGGAATGGGTTCAGAATTGCTCTCGAAGTGCGATTCCATGCTCGTAGAGGGAGAATTCAGCCCTGCGTTGAGCAACTTCAAAATTTGTAAATGGAAGGGATCAGTTGTACATTTGTACGTCTCATTGAATGGCTGCAAGTTCCTGTCCAGACGCTGTGGCTCCACATTGTTTCACATCATCTCTGCTTGACCATCCTGTGTGTGAACTTATCAGTTCCGAGCGGAAGAAGTTTAGGTTAGACTGTCATGGCTCGTTGTTTTTGTACAGGTTTTATGTTCGTCCCATCCAATACCTGCATTTCGCGTTAGAAAAAAATCTCTCCTTACAATCAATGAGTCTTCCTGTCAAGGGCTTTGTGTGCCAACCTCTCTCTTGTTTCTCCTTCCAACCCCGAGTTCTAGGCCCTCGTACTTTCGCCTTTCACTTCTTCCTCGACGGTTGCAGAAGAACTCTGTGAGCAGCGTTGCCAGCAGAACTTGCACGTCCTTTTTCATTGTTACCAGTAAGCTATACATTATGTACATGCATGCGGAGAAATCGCTGTGAACTCAACGAATTTACATGAAGATGCGAGCACCGTATAAAACTACTGTACTCCCAGATGGAACAGATTCTAAGCGGGATACATTATATTTTGATGTGTGAAGGAATACATTTGCGGCAACAGCTTTATAGCAGGTGAGCTCCTCTCTTCAATTGATGGTTTGCGATATCTTTCTGTTTCGCAGTATCCAAATGAAAACAATCATTCTCAACTTTCAGAATAAACACGGCGAAGCAAATGGAATGCATGTAATATAGTACATCCACACATGCACAAGGTGATGAAAGAGTTCCAAATATATACGGAGGGGCGCACTCGACAACAAATCTGCTGAACAGCATGCATCCGCGACTTTTTTCATTCGAGAATTGCACGTGGAAACAACTTCATAGAAGTCAGTATATACAGTAACAACTTGTGTGTGAGCGTATCACGCAGAACGGGTGATCAGTCACAAAGATCAGATATTACTATGTACACGTCATATCTCTTGGTGGCAAAAAAGGGATTATAAGACGTGCGTTACACTCAGTTCTCGCGAAACGTAAGATTCAACCGGCCAGGTCTCAAGTTCGACTTTTGAAGAAGAGATTCAGGTGCTGAGCCCCTGATAATTTTGGATACTCCATGATAAATCATCCTAGATGGGCCGCCAAAAATTAGAACATCGCCAGAATCTAGCACCAATTTCTCTGCGGTCTCCACATTATTATCTGAACCATATAAAAACTCCGCAGAGTCTCCCACAGAAAATGAGACGACAGGGCTACCTCTCTTCAAGCTCTCTGGGCTTTCGTCCTTGTCCTGCAGATTGACATACCAATTAACCAACCAAAGAAATTTTTCGACGAACATTGACTACTTTGACCAAAATCTCAACAGAAATTGGACGGAGATATCAGAAGACAACTCTAGTCATTGCGGAACCCATCACCAAACATCCAAAATGTGTTACCTGATGCATTCCGAGATTCCCGCTGTGTTCATAGAAGTTTACGATGCAAACATTCGGCACCATATCCGGCACAGGAGAATTTCCGTTGATTACTACTCTCTTTGCCTTCCCTCCAGATTCCTGAGCTATGTGTAGTTTGGCTACAGATATAGCTTTTTCAACCAATCTCAAAAATGATTCCGGTAGTGGTGGAGCCATCGCGTTGTCATAGTTGGTACGCCGGCTTTCATAAGCACGAGAGGTTGGTTGCCACTGCATTCCTAAGCACATCATCCTTAAATGCATCTTACTATTCTCGTCATACTGAGGCTGATAAAATCCTCCAGGTCCTGTACCCAGCAGCTTACACTGTTTGACAATGTCGACCTGCATATCGACAAAGGGAAAATGTCAAGTCCAGCTTTAGGTACACAACTAACGAATTCCTCAACAGCCTCAGCTGCTATCGAGTTGTCATAAAAGGTTCCAAGGCCGACATGACAGTCCTTTTCAACATCGCCGTGGTGATTCCAAGTTGAATAAATTTACATTTCCATACAACTATTTTACAGAAGGCAGTACAGCTGATACACATGTCTATAGTTGTCAGTGTGACAATTGTTGGGACACATGAAAACCTTGATGACAACTAAATGTACGGGAATTCTGTCGCGGCGACTTCTAACATAAGCTCTACTGAGAAAATACAAGAACCGATATACAAAAGAACGATTCCCACCTGCTGGTCAACACTTAACCACTTCTTGAGCAAAATCATACCCGGACGTAATGTTCGATTGTAAGACTCGCTTAATGCTTCCTTCCTGTCTGTCTGTTTCTGTTTGATAAGAGACGGTGCCAACACCACCGGGTTATGTTTCCCATGTTTTCGTGGCAGGCAGATATCGAAAATCGGAGGCGCACTTTTATCTTCAGCATGTGAAGGTCCAATACTACTTGTAGTAGAAACTGCACCACCTATACCGAGTCCCCTCATTTCGCTTCTACATTCTGCGAACTTTTCATCCTCTTCAACCGGAGCAGAAGCGTTCGCCCTGGGAGCCTGCCAAGCATTGTTTAGCTCATCTATATTTGAAATGCCGATATCTTGAAGATTGTGGCCAACCAGAGCCTCTACAATCGGATCGTCGTGCTGAATTCTTGCACTCTTCTTAGCTGCTAGTCTTCCCGCAGCAGACGAATTCTGCGCCCATTTTCCTGATCTACTCGGTACAGCAGGTTTTCCGCCGTCGACGAACATAGGTGACTCTTCTAGAAAAGGGTTGGGCTTTATGCGGGGCACGTTCGCAACGTCCTTCCCAACAAACATGTCACCTCCGAGAATAGAAACACTTCCAACCCCGTCCTCGCCATTTTCTTGACCTGCCATAACAACCTGCTGACAAATTTAAAAACGAAGCTCTTTGTTTCGGAATTTGTCGAGCACAGGGACTAACTCTAGCTGAAGATCTCAAGAAGCACAGCAATAGTATAACTCCCTAGGTTTTTTCCTTTGAGAACAGCTTGGTGAAAGCCCATTGTTTTGATTCATTCATTCGTTAGCTGGCACTCGAAGACAGACAGCTCAAAAGGAAGGCTATCACAACCGAGGCAGTTACACAGATAAAGTGGCGGAACTCCAAGATTACATATGTTCAAACTGAAAGATCGGGACACGCCCGCGTTAGCTGTGTTGTGGAATCCTTGCAAACAGGTGAATCACCAAACCAAACTACTCTGAAATCTTCGTAAGAAAGTAGAAGGTTACAAGACAACCCCCTGCAGCTTGTAAGCAGTGTAGAAGAAACCACTTCAATTTTCAGCTTTTCGGACAACTATATACCTTACGACCAAGCAGGTCGATTGTGACAACGACCCGCTTTCTGCGCTCTTCGGCAATGCGCTCCTCATCTTCTTGTCTCTTCTTCAGAAGCTGCTTTTCCTGAAACGTTCGCATGATAACAAATGATAAGCTCCTGTAATCGTGTTATGTGTAGATCATTCGTCCAAAGCTACATCAGAAAGTACCAAAATTCTCGCGAACACATAATATTGCAAGTGCGTGTTGAATGTACCTTGTCAGTGAGCCATGTGTTACCATCAATCTGGAAGTAGTCACTCTGGTCATCAATGACGGTTGTACGGGCTGCTGAAGACCGATCATACTCTACCAGCCTGTTCTTAAACTCCTCTGCTTTGATTTCTGCTTCACTTGCTGGTGGGACAGCCACACCTTCAAGGCCTGCATAATCACTCCCCTCTCTCAACACTAGAGCACCACAATACTCACATGGCCCTTCCCCTTCCTGCTCACAGACTATTTTTCCACAGGAAAGACAGTTATTAATGAGCTTATGTCTTGTACACTGGCAATTACATGGGCCACTGCGGCTAAATACTACCAGTCCTTTCGAAGCTTCTGCCAAGCTGACTCCTTTTCCACCTCTTTTCCCCTTACCACCAGCGGTTTTCCCTTTCTGAGTACTTGAATTCTGTGACGCCGTTGCTCCAGTGGCTGTTGATGAAGACAAGGTTCGGTCGGCATTTTTCTGGGCCGAGGCATTTCCCTCAGCTTTCTGTTTCTGTGGTTTCTTACTTCCTGCAGACCAGGACTCGTCTTCTCGAGGTTTGACGTAAGCCTGCAAAGTTTCTCCAGGTACACTGGTGGGGCCTCCACCTCTTCGGCGCACGTACTCAGCAACAATGTCATTGCATCTGTCATCTACGACAATGTTCTGCAATTCAATTCCTCGCATATAAGGGTCGGGGAACTGACAAAGATCATCTGCAAAAAAATATGCTCCAGATCCTTTTCACAACATTATATGCAAGACTCCCCTTCCTCCTCGAAGCCACAACTTAATCACACGGATCCTGCCATAAATTTCTGAAAATGCTACAAACATGACATGTGCTCGCTGAATACCATTCATCGTGCAAAGGCGCCCCGTTAGCGATGTGCACATCATTGACCCACACATACGGTATGCTTTTCATAAACCCTACTCAGAGTCGCAGACCCTGATTTCAAGCGACTCCACTAGTACTAAGAAACAATCCGATGACGCAACTCGTCATTACTATCCATATGAGAATCTATACCAATGCACAGAGAGGTAATAGAAAAGACGTGCGCAGTAACAACCATAATTTGAAACATCACCTCCTTCGACTGCTAAAGTCCTTATACCCACTTATAGCGCAACAGAGATCATCCGATCAACGTACAATGTGAAGACGCACCTCTCGTTTCCATCACACAGAAAGGGCGAGAAAAGGAGTATACCATTAAGTACTCGCTGGCGTCAGGGGGTGAAGCCAATTCGCAGTAGGAAACCAAATTATACACCAGATCAGCATCCAGCTGAAGCCCAGATCGAACATCTGACGACAAATTGAGCAAAGATTCCTCCAACCACTTGCCCGCCTCCGTCAACGCCATGGTTGGGCTAAATGAGTGTCTCCAAGCAGAGTGTCTCCAATACAATTCTTCAATCCCCAAATCAACCGATAACTACTAGCCCGATCGCTCCACGAGACTCGAAGCTCTCAAATCTCTTTCCAGGGTCCTTCAGAACTTAAGCCTTAAAATTGATGATGTCCCCGATCTCTTTACACCCACACTCATCAGATGTGAAAAGGCCTAAAACCTCACCCTCAGGCAGATTGCAAAACTGCTCACACAATTCTTGGTAATGTGTGAGCATCAAATGTGTTGGCCTGCAAATGATATAATTCTGTATCCAGACAGACAAGAAACCAACAACCAAACAAAAAAAAAAAAACTGCGTAATTCTTGAGTAGTCTCCAATCTTTGAAGGAAGAACTCTGACTTCTTCACCACTGGGCCCACAGAAATCGTATTGTAACTGACGAGCTTCTCGTTAGCTTTGTCACTTCAATTGCTGTCTGAACGACTGAATGAGGCCCACGGAGACGAGCATCGGATGGGAATCGTCTACTTTCACTGGAATCACTCATTGTCGTTCATCGAGGAAACTGCAGTACGTGGTACAGTTGCGTTACACAGACATCACTCTGGACTTCACTTACTGCAGTAGGTTGCTGCTCAATTCACAGCCTCGCCCATGAGCCATGCTTTGCTTCATGAACAAAATAAGTGATGTGTATATATTCAATAATCAATACTAAAAAACTTGTTTGCCTCACAACAAGTCAATATGGCCGAGTTGGTCTAAGGCGCCAGTTTCAGGTACTGGTCCGAAAGGGCGTGGGTTCGAATCCCACTGTTGACATGGTTCCTGATGGTCGCGTAGCGCAGTGGATTAGCGCGTCAGACTTCGGATCTGAAGGTCGGGGGTTCGAATCCCCTCGTGATCGGAACACTTTTGGTTTTTCGTTCGAGTGCTTTTCAGGTTTTCACCTGAATGATTCAGGCACGTGGCTTAATTGCCGGCATGAAGAAGGATCTCCGATCTGAGGCTTTGCGACGGAAGTTATCAGCAAGAGAGGCGCTCGTAAGCTCCAGTGGACGGATAAAGGTAACTCTTAAACATGGTGAACAGAAACTACGTACTACATATCTGACGTCAGAGTTCTGGCGTGGTTGGTCCTTTTTCTATTTTCTTCGTAGTTTGTACTCTTTAATCGGTAGCACTTGCTATTCGTTCTGTGCCAGAAACATCCAAACGATGATTCTAAAAGAAGAAAATGTAATTATAAACAATGCAATTATGGGACCAGAGACGTTTTTCACCGTATGGGACATGACTTTTTCTCCGGAAGAATTAGAGTTGCTCAAGCATGAGAGTTAAACCTCCCGATAGTGACACATAACCCTTCTAGGGTTTTATGTCACTATTCGGAGGTGTCACTCACAAGAGGATGTCATATTTTTTCCCGCGTTATTCGTGTTTTGGGCCCCTCTTCCTCTCTCGCTGCGATCTGTCACAATGCGTTCGGTGAAGGCTTCTTTCTCTCTCGCTGCGGTCTGTCATTGTTGTTATGCATTAGGTGGTCATTTTTTTCTCTCGCGACGCAATCTGTTCATGTTCGGTGGGAGTTTTTTTTTCTCTTAATCTGCATCCGTTATTACTCACTCATGTCTAAAAGCAAGCGTTTGGCCATGAAGACAAAGCTCGAAGTTTTGGATTTTCTGAATCAGCCCATAGCCACCCATGAGAAAGCGGCATCGGTATTTTCGGTGGCACATACAACTATTTCGAAATCTGAAAAGAGAGAGAAATTATCAAACAAGTGTCGTTAGAATCAAATCGAGATCGGTTTAAAAAGATATCTACATCGACACGAGTCACACAGAGCCATTGCTGCACCATTTCTAACAGAAATGGTGCAACAATGGCTTGTTCGTGTTGAGATCGATGCGCCCACGCTGAATGTGACGGGTGAGATGCTGAAGAAGAAGGCTCTGTTTTTTCGAGACAAAATTTTGCTCGACTTTGCAGAATGTTTGACATCTTCAAATACAATTTCTCTACAATCATTTGTTGCGTCTAATGGATGGCTGGAGAAGTATTTGAAGCGCATTTCAACGTCGAGTAAGAGGAGGTGCGGAGAACACAACAGCATTAGTGTCATGGAAGTGAAGAAACGTCTGCAACAAATTTGTGAAATGTTATGCGACGTACCACTCGAATGCATCATTAACATTGACGAGTCAGCTTTACAGTATCGCACGACGTCATCAAGATCGTACTGCACAGTCAATTCAGATGGTCGTGGAGTGAAGCGAAGTAAAGAACGAATTACATTGACGCTTGGAGTTAGTGCTTCAGGTGAAAAGTTCATCACGCAGGTGATCACGAAGAGTGCTCGTCCACGTGCTTTGAAAGGTATTCCTGACATAAGTAAGGCGTTTGGAATTATTTATGATCATCAAGCTAAAGCTTGGCAGGATACATCTTCCTACATGCGTCTGCTTCACAAGTACAACAAAATTGACAAGGACAGACACTGCATCTTCTACGTACTTCAAGACAACTATTCGTCTCACGTTTGTGCGTCTAAGATTTTAGACCCATCGGGATCAACAAAATCTTTTTTCAAGTTTGAAAATCTGTGTATCATTTTTTTCCTCCAAATGCTACTAGCGAATGTCAACCTTTGGATCAAGGTGTCATACGATCTTTTAAAGCTCATTTTTGTCGTGCTCAGCTTAATCATTTAATGTCTGAGTATGAGATGTGGCAGGCGAGTGAACGTGCTTCTTATTCTCAGTTTTTGATCAACGATCATACCCATCTACGGAATGTACTTGGTTGGGTAAAATCTGCATCGGATAGTATAGAGGAAAATACTATTCGAAGGTGTTTTGTTAAAGCCAACTATCTACCTCTTGTATCTAACGTAATTTTGAATCATGATATAGATAGATATAACAGCAGCTCAAATCAGGCTCTGGATGATTTGATGAAAACTCTTCAAGAAATTCAACTCAACGATTCTTTTTCAGCGTCTTTGGATCTTGATGACTCAAGTATAGAAGTAGTTGCTGAAGAGCTTATTGACCTTGATGCTGTTGATAGTACTGTTGATGATTATATTGACGATATTAGCATCGTCAAATCGGTTTTAGAGCAACATAATCTCTTGCACAGTGATAGTGCTTCGAATGAGTATGATTTTGGTGAGATTTCGCCTTTGGTGACAGTAGAGCAAGCAAATCAAGCAATCACTTACTTGATTAATTTTTTTTCCATCAAATCGTTTTTATCTACAGAATTACAAAGTACGCTGCTGTGCAATCTCCAAAGAGTTCGTCGTCTTTTGATACATCAACAGAACATTGAAAAATTTAAAAGGTTGAGACAGTCGACAATCACATTGTAAATTGTATTTCTATGATTCAATATACTTAATTTTCAGCAGTGTCCATATATGTAACTTGCTTGCTAACTAATTAGTCGTCTGAAACTCCATGAAAATTTCTATATTGCATATTCGTGAATATCGAGATGTTAACACCACAGTGATGGTGAGTATGGATGTCTAGTACATAGATTAGTACAGTTTCTGTACCTGAGATTTTTTGGATGAATGTTCACTTTCTGTGTTTACAGAAAGTGAACAGTGAAGTGTTTTTGTGTTGACACTGGCCTTTCAGCTTGTTATTGCTGAGATTTGTCTCCGTTCCTGATACTGAAGTAGTTCAGATGATGCTTACAATCGGCTTTAGATGGGCAGTCGTTTTTGGGGCATATAGAAAGTTCACTTTGTAAATACTCAATCTCATTTGTCCATATCATCTAGAAGATGGAACAACGCTGATCAGTACATTTTTCAAAAATGTTTGCCCATAGTCTGTAGTGGACGGAGAAACAGAATTGGATACACATTCGATTTTCTGAACTTCAGAAACTTGAGTTATATCTGTTATTATGCCTCAAAGGTTTGCAAGAAAGAATAGTCCGATATAGAATGGCCTCGAAAGATGCATCATGCAGAATAACAAACTTATTACAAGATGCACTTTGTACATATGTTCAACTAGAATTATACAAGACACAGCTTCGTTTGCTCAGGACCCAGTCAGTAAATATATCTGTATGTTCACTTTTTGATAGGAATGTTAAATTGCTCGTGTTTCAGCAGAAGCAGATCTATCTATGTTTGAAATTTGGGTAGTTCTACGATACAGTCAATATAAAGCAAAGATCTAAACTAGAGTCAATACATACAGAAAGTCTGTACTATGAAGGTGCTCGTGAACATATCATACAGATCGTGAACATATCTGAACTTGATTGTCAGTTCAAAACCTTGCTACAGATCTGTATCAGGCACTGAACCGTCGAGCATGATGGAGCATTGAGAGAAGTTTTCATTTCAGTCGAGAGTTGGAATCTTAAATGTTAGGATAGATCAATCAATCTTTTATAGAAGACTTTTAATTCTAAACAAAGACTCTTGACAATTATGATAGCAATTAAAGCTCAACACAGTCACTATTGAAAATTCTAATGACACTATTAACAATAGTGACGTACTGCCATTATTGCATAAAATTTTCCATTATAAACTAATGGTTCTTCATTTTCATGTCACTAATGGGAGTATGTCACTCACACGAGGTGACACTATTGGAAGGTTTATCTCTGTACTGAATACAGGTAGAACTCCTTGCCATTGTCCATTGACGCTCCGAGTCTTCGTGGTCTTAGATCTCAATGATTCAGAAATTTAATTCCACGAGGGTAAACTGTAGGTCTCCAAATCTGCTCCGAAAACTAGAAATCTATGCTCAGTTCTTTCAAGGGTATCTCTAATCTTCATCTCGAAGAATCTAAAAGTGACGAGTGAAGTTTCTGCATGGAAAATATGCGCATGTTGAATCAATTTCAGGATGAGAGCTAGATTTTAAGTATTGCAACCTACTTTTTAGTCATCAAGTTTGTATGGTTGGACGGCATTGTGCAACTTGGATCAAGAGTCTCGTACAAGGATTTATCTCTTTCCTCTCAACCCTAGAACCCCGAAAACAAATACCGTCAACGGAAAGATCACAGTTCAGCATACTTCACTAATTTGGTGTCTGAATCATTAATTTAGCGAATGGCATGGGCCCGAATGATTGATCTCATTCATCCCGCATTGTCTGTCCTGAATTCCATAAAGGCTTTCCCCTCGAGCGTGAGGCTGAAGCTTCTGAGGAAGGGACCTTTCAAAGGAAAACAGCGATTTCCGGTCACAGAAACAGATCTAGATGTTGTGGAAGTGCGCTCTTCCAAAGAAGACAAAGGTGTACAGCAGAGAGACGACGTAGGTTCCTCTGTCCCCGACATGGAGGTTAGTGAGGTAAGTAGAAGCCTAAAGCTTTTCCATTATCAATAACGTAAAACTGTGTGTATTCTGCTACTTGAACCCCAACTTAAAGATTCACTTCATGCCTGAATACCATGTTCCTTGTCTATGTGGGAAGCAGAAATTTGGCTCAGTTCTTGTGTCTCATACGCATGAAGGAGAACCTTTGTATAGAAAATCTATGTCTATGGAATCCAGGGAAATTTCTGCAAAGGCAGGCTTACAAGACAAGACCGCCGAGTCTGTCATAACAGATGTAAGTATGAGAACTCTACTCTCCTTGAGTGCATGTTGGACGATGGATTCATGCTCGGAACTCCTTTGCTTTTTGGTCTTTCTATTTTAATTCTATTTCTTACATAATTTGTTGATGAAATTATATCTCATGGTTATCATATTAGCCTACCATTTGAGAAATGGAGGAAAAAGATTCATACATAGAGGAAAAAGTGAGAAAAAAGAAAAAATTACTTAATGAGAACAGCCAGGATTTTTCAGGGGGGTGGCAGCCTGGTAGATAGCGCCGCATGCGTAAATTTTTTTTGGCTAATTCTGTTAGAGAATTATGTTAAAACCAAAACTCCACTATAGAGAATTCCAAAAAGTAAATCTACACTGTAGAATACCAAATTCTCTTTATAAATCCAATTGCACTTTGTTAAATCTAAAACTCCTGTAACCGATAACAAAAAAAATAGATCTAAATTGCATAAAAATACCGAATTCTGTTTATTAATAAAACTTCACTCTGTTACAAGCAAAACTACTGTCATTCATGATAGGGATTTCAAAACTGAAAATCCAAACTGAAAAATATCCTAACTCAATGTATTAATCTAGTTGCACTGTGACTATACTAAAACTCTTGTCACTCATGTCAGAAAATCCGAAGTGTAAAAAAATCTGAATCCAATGTATTAATCCAACTGCACTGTGATAAAACTAAAACTCCTGTCACTCATAACAGAGAGTTCAAAACAGAAAATCCAAACTGTAAACAATTCAAATTCAATGTATTAATCCAACTGCAATGTGTTAAATCTAAACTCCTATCATTCATGACAAAGAATTCAAAACAGAAAATCCAAACTGTTAAAAAAATCCGAATTCAATGTATTAATCCAACTACATTGTGTTAAAACTAAAACTCCTATCACTATGCTAGAGAATTCAAACTAGAAAATCCAAACTATAAAAAATCCGAATTCAATGTATTTATCCAACTGCACAGTATTAAAACTAAATATGTTGTCACTCATGACAGAGAATTCAAAACAAAAAATCCAAACTGTAAAAAATCTGAATTCAATGTATTAATCCAACTGCAAATGTCTAGTGCTCAACGCTTGAAATTTCTCAATAAAAACGTCGGTAGTGATTCCTTGTGCCAACTTTCTTTCAACAAACAAACTAATAGCGTGAGCAAGGTACTCATCTTCCATCTTGTTCCTCAACCGCATTTTCACAATCTTCAATGTTGATAACGAACGTCTTGTTGACACATCGCTAACAGGTAAAATTAAAACCAAACTGATTATTCAAAAAACAAGATGATAAGTAACAGACTTCTTGAGTTCAAACATCTTTATAGCTAAAGCAGAAGGAGATTGAATTCCAAAAAAAGCTTCGTTTAACCTCAAATCTATGCTGAATTGCAGAATCTGTTGTTCTAACATCGGCAAATCATATTGTTCAAAGTCATGGGGATACATCCGCCCCAACTCAACTAACTCCGAGACATTTTTATGAATGCGAAGGTGATCTGGGCATAAATAGGCAATCCGTGTGAGCAATGTAGACGAACATCAAGGAAAACAATCATCAAACTCATTTAATTGTGAATCTACGATGTTGAAGAATATCTCCACACGATAATAATGATCACAGGTTATGCTATCAGCATTGCGATGAGTACGTCCCGTAAGCACATAACTTGATTTCATATCAAGGGCAGCGATGTTTTTTGCAAAACAAAAAGATTGAACTGCTTCATATATTGTCTTAAATTCTTGTTATGATCTCAGTTTCAGCAATTCATATTTTAAAACAGCAACAAGATACATAGTGTTGAGTATGTCTTGGTTCTTACGTTATAAAGCTTCCGAAAGAACTACATACTTGCCTAAAACCGCCTTCATAATGTATAACATTAGAGAAAAGTCAAAGTACGGTTTTGTAAAGTGACGATTTATGCAACATATCGCTTACAATAATCTTGACGTTTCTGCTTTTGAATGTGTAACAGTTGCATCTTCCACAATAATTTCAAGAACTTTGACAACTAAATCATACAGATCAAGCACTCGACAAACAGAAACAAAATGAGTTTTCCATTTTGTCTCTCCTTGTCATTGGAGTGATTGGTCCTGATTTAATCCGCGATCTATTTTCATTTCTTTGCGAACAATTGCATCACGGATGTTAGCTGCTTACAATTCTTGTATTGATCTGCACGTTTACAAGAAGCACCTATTGTGATACATAATGATGACAATTCAACAAAGAACCGTCAAACTTTGATATGATTTTTGGTTGTTGATATCAAAGCAAGTTGAAGTCGATGTGCGAAATAATGAACATAGTATTCTGAGGGTTTTTCTCTTTGGATCATAGTCTTCAACCCTTTAATGTCTCCACGCATATTATATGCTCTATCATATCCTTGTACTCGTACACGGAATAACGAAAGATCGTGCGGCTCAAAGTGGAAACAATAGCAACCATTAGCGATTTTGAACGTGATCAGCAACATGGATTATATACAAAAGCCTCTCCTAAATTACTCCAGAGCTGTCGACAAATCTTAGAACTAGATACATCTGCTCTTTTTTTGATTCATCTCGAGCCTTATCAATCAGCAAACGAAAAAAGCTATCACCGATTTGCTTCACAATATGCTCTCTTACACATGAAGCCATGGCCCTTAGTATGTCATTCTGGATGTCTGAAGATGTCATCGTCAAATTGTTCCGTGCACGATCAAGACAAACACATTGATAATCTACAGAATGTTGATTGAGAAGAGTTAGTAGCTGAAGAAAATTTCCATGATTGTATGACTCTTTAGACTCGTCATGATCACGAAAAGCAAGACCTTGATGAACCAAAAATTGCACTGTTTTGATGGATGTTGTTCATCAAAGTCTGTGATTAGCTTTTTGTTGTTCAGATTAACAATCTAGGATGGCTTCAATTGAAGAACGTGGTTTGGTATTGACTTTCAAAGCAATAAAGTGCAAAGAGTGAGCTGAAGTGTTTTATCAATTTACAATCTTTTCCAGTGATTTTGTTCCTAGCTTGCAACACCTTCGCTGACAAATTGTCTTGAAGCTTGTGTATCCTGCGCATATAAATAACAAGGAAAGCAATACATTGCATCCTTTGCAAGACTATATTCAAGCCAAGGATGCAAAGCAAACCATTGAAAACAGAAACAACAAAATCTACCACCCTGTTTTAGAGAAGTATATTTCGACAAATGTGGTTGAAATGACCCTTTAGATATATAAGCATTCCGAATTATGCCCCTTTGAGAGGCTATGTAGGATGAAATGTTTGGTCTTAGACCTGGATCGCGCTCCAACGTGGCCACAAACAGATACTCTGTACAATGACGTTTTGATGCAGGAGATATTAACATCATTGAAAGTGACAAACTTGACTTCTCCAACCACAAAACATTTCAAACACAGAAAACACAAGCGTCATACTTTTTGCATGAGATAGAGAAAGTGTCAAGATTCAGAAAAAGAAGACACTGTTCACTTGATGAATGATAATAGACAACGTTTGAAGACATCACAATGAAAGAATGAAATACTACTCCAATTATGAAGATGATTTTCTAATAAACAATATCTTGATTTGACAGTTTCAATGAATCTCACCAATCAAAATAAACCGATCATTTTCTCTTTCAAAAAAACCAACTCTATCATATCTCAGATGCAAACCTGTACTCTTTGAGAAACTGTACAAGAATGAACATAACAAATGGTTCCTTAAGTTCTTTTAACAGTACATGGAACTTTTGAATTAGACGTAGGGTCAATGCATATATTGTTTACTATGTTTGAAGTATGTTTATGAGGTCAACACACTCCTTTGAGATCAAAAAGTTAGTAACATGTTCTGCTCATAAGTAGTCCACATTACGATCTTGTGTATGGAGTTGAATGAAAACAATGATAAAGTTTCAGACGCCGGCTAAAATAGTAAAATTTGTTACCTTTCGATCTTTCACTGAATAATGAGATCAGAGAAAATTTAGCCCTCACCGAGGAGTGCTGGAGAAACAATCAACAGAGCATGCCATGATTAGAATCTAATCGAAATGTTGCCAAGAATTTCAAAATTTGTGAAAGCTTCCGAGCCATACATTAACAAGTGGGCTCCCGGGTCGGAATCATGGTTGAAACTCATGAGTCATGACATAACTGACTATCATCAACTCAAAATGAATTGCCTTCATTTTATATGCATGAACAATCTTCATAGTGTATGAAGACAGGGGGGTATATATATCAACAAATCCAACTAAGACTATTTATATGGTCTATAAAGCATAGTTAAAATGCAAATGGTCTGTAAAACATGTACTGTTTGACATGTCAAGCAATCAAGTTGATATGTCTAGGTCCATGGCTTTGTGAAGCTATTAAAAATTCAGTTAGAGGTGCGTTGAAACCGAATGCTTTGACATACTCAGACCTTGCACATGCTGATGTTTAAAGGAAGCACTCCAAATCAATAAAATCTCCAATTTTAGCATTTTCTTGTATTCAGTTCATCTACCTGCATCGATTGAACATGTCTAGGCTTCCTTTCAGTAAAACCATCATTTTCAATTTATTCTAATGAGATGTGAGAAACCGATTAGTATCAAATTTGTGAGAAAATTACGTGATGGACACACTAATGTGATGGCATTAGGGTTGGCTACAAATTTGTTACCTTTCAATTTGTCACATACTGAGACCTTGCACATGCTGATGTGCAAGGGACGCACTCCAAGTCAATAAAATCTCTGATTGTAGCATTTATTTGCATTCGGTTCATCTACCTTAATCAATCAAACATGTCTAAGCTTATATTCAGTAAAACCATCATTGTCATTTCATCTAATGAGATGTGAAAAACCGATTACAAATCGATCTAACTTACAAACAGTTCAATGTTAAAATCTAACTTACAAACAGATAGTTGGTGCATGCTGATTGCCGTTGTGACTAACTGGCCGGCGAAAGAAAATCCCAACTCTTCACGAACTCTCCAAATATTCTTCGTGTTCCTACGAAGCTTGCCCAAATGAGTATCTTGAATGAAACAAACATATGGAAGAGACGCAAAGAGATTCGAAGTGCTCATACAAAGCCTGCCTGTATGAGTATCTTCAATCGAACAAACAATTTGACTGCCATGGACCTGGTTTTTTCTTTGGAGAGAAAGAACGGTAAGGTGATTTGGCTTTGCATGTGTGGTTTTTTGGTCTCGCATTTTCAGGGGTATGATTAGCTTGGGGGGATGCACGCTCCCCGCCCCTCTCTTGTGGCTCTGCCACCGAGACCAGCAAAACACCAAACACTTGATTGGACCCAACACAATTCATTTCATCAGATGAAACTCCAACTGCAATAAAACACACCGTGTGGATTGGGTACAATCAACCGTCAGAACAAGATCCCATTGAATGGACTTTACCTACCTAGCAAATAAAAACACCCTCAAACTATACCAAGTGAGATTTTGAAACTTCAAAATACATCAACGAGACACCTCAGATTGTGTTTGTGGTGTGGTTGATTGAGCTATCTTACAGGCAAGACTCTCGAAATACATCAAATAAGGAACTTGAGGGCCAAAGTGTCGTGTTTTGTTCTCAAAAAGTTACTTATTTCCAACAAAAAAATCTTTGTTGTCTAGGTATCTTTAGGGTTTAGGGTGACCAATTTTGACAATATCTTTGTTGATCTAGGTGATTTTTCTAAATAAACTAACATAAATATTCATCTAAATCTTTGTCGTGATAGTTTGTGATAATTTCTTTGTTCATATCGATGACTATACTAGACAAACTAACTAAGTACTTGACTAAAACTTGCGGCGACAACAGATGAGTTCAACCAAGCAAGTTCTAGTATTTTGTTTCCTTGTTTACCTTAGTAACTTGTAGCTTTGAAAAGACAAGAAATTATTCAACTAGTTCTAAATTATCAAGATAGTCTCAAATTTTCTGGGAAACAAAAGAACATTGATAAAATAGTGAATCCAGAACATTACGAAGTAGATGTTTACGGTTCACAAAAATCTGTTGACTGAAAAGTCTGATTCCAAGTTTTAAGAATAGATTTCTTCAACTCATGGACTTTTTTGTAAGATTAGTTTGACCATTTTTGAACACTTCAACGGTGTGGAGAGTGATTTCTCCATACTAAAATGAGAAAAGGATATTCAGAGATCAAAGATAACACCCATTTCTCTCGAAGGTGTATTACATTGCCGACAAATTCGGCCAAAAACATGAGAATTTAGGTCAAGATTCGACCGAAAACTGTCAAGTTACATATATTCCATATTTTCATTTGAGAATTATCCTTATTTTGTTCAGATACAGAACATAAGGAATCCGCCCTATATAGAAAAGCCTGCTTATAGGTGATTCGATTTCCGCGGAACGCAGAGTCTTTTAATTGTTTGCCATATTAAACCATCCTTCTTGTAGACTTTTTCTTTGTTTTGCTTCTACGTATGTTTTCTCAAGTGAGCCAGTAGTGTGTTCTCTCCCGTGGATTCCATACTACAAAATGAATCATGTTTGCATCTCGCAGGTTTTCCATCGAGTAATTTTCTTGAAAAAAAACTCCTACAAAGATAGCCAAAGTGGTGAAATTCTGCTAGAAAGATGTCAGAGTGGTGAAAAAAAAAAGTACTACTAAGATGTCAAAGTGGTGAAAAAGACTACTAAAAGATGGTCAAAGTGGTGAAAAAATACTGCTACAAAGATGGCAAAGCGATGGAAAACTCTCCTGCAAAGATGTCAAAGTTGTGGAAAAAACTATTAGAAAGATTATCAAAGAGATGGAAAATTGTTGGTACAAATATGGTCAAAGTGGTGGCAAACTGTGGGTATGAAAATGGTCAAAGGGATGAAAAAAGATTGCTACAAAGATGTTCATAATAGTGGATAAAACTACTACAAAGATGGTCATTTTAGTGGAAGAAAATTACTTCAAGAATGCTCATAAGAGTGTATAAGATAATTATCAAAATAATCAATTTATTGGGAAGAATATTACCACAAATATGGTCATAGGAGTGCATAAGACGGTTATCAAGATGGTCATTTTATTGGAAAAAGATTGCTTAGAGTAGTGGATAAGACCCTTATAAAGATGATCATTTAAGTAAAAAAAGTATTGATACGAAGATGCTCATAGTAGTGGTTTAAACGTTTATAAAAACGTTCATAGAAGTAAATAAGGATCTTACAAAGATGGTCATTTTAGCAAAAAATAGCTTGCTACAAAGATGCTCAAAGTAGTGGATAATGCCATTAAGAAATTTTTCATTTTAATGGATAAAGGTTACTGCAAAGATGTTCATGATAGTGTAAAAGACTTCTACAAAGATAGTCAAACTAATGGAAAAAGATTGCTACAAAGATTGTCATTTTAGTGAAAAAGTAATATTGCAAAGATTCTCAAAGTAATGAACAAGATTTCTACGAAGATGATCAAACTAGTGGGAAATTTTGTTACAAAGATTTTCATGATAAAGGTTAAGTTTTCTATAAATATGGTATTTTTAATGGATAAAAAAAATTACAAAGATGCTCATATTAATAAATAATTTTTTCTCAAAGATGATCATAGTAGTGAATAAGATGGTGAAACTAGTGGAAAAATACTATTTCATCCCTTAAGTATTGAGTCTAACTATTTATTTGAATCAGCCGTCACCTCTTAAAAGTAGCCACCCCAATGTAATTAAAACTTTAGAATAGCTCAAGTCATGCATATATATATATATATATATATATATATATATATTACCTGCACATTCAAGTATTATTAAAGAAAAAACTCATCTATTTATATAAATTTTTTGTTGTGGAGATGATCACACTCAAATACTCAAGTATAGAGTAAGAGATAATGTGCCATTTGATCAAATATGTTGCATGATATATGAATATCAAAAGGTTATGATGAAAAGGTTATGAATTTGGTATTTGATGATGAAGCTTAATACTTTGAAGCAACATGATTGCATCCATGGCAAAATTGAATACATGTGTATTTATGATTTGTGCATCAGGCACAACCATTCATCCTTATTTAAGGACTTTGCATATTCTAAGTAGTGTTTTTGAGAAGTTT